AAAAAAAAAAAGAAAAAACAACAGAATCTGGAGAGAAGTTTTCCATTTTTTGTGGTCTCCCAGATTTCGTATGTTGAAGCAATTTTATTTGAAAACAAGACACATGAATGAGATTACCAAAATCGTAGAGTCAGAACAATGCATATTCTATAGATACCTACTTTTCTCACATAGAAAAGGAAAGGAGAGAAAGTTAGGAAAAGTTAGTGCTTTTTCTGAAAAAAAGAAAAATATTTAATTTTTCTGGGGTGGCTGGAAGTAAGTGAGGACAGCAAGGTCCTGCTTGTTTCTTCAGAAACAGTGATTTGTAGTGAAACATCTGGCCTCACCACAGACCAAAGCACTCGTGTCTAAATTCAGTATTACAGAAAGGACTCCTTGTGCTATCTCACTCCCATGACCAAAATCTTTATTTTTTTCAGTGAGACTAAAGAAAGAAGAGAAGAGCAGACAAGAACTGGAGAAATTGAAAAGGAAATTGGAAGGGGACTCGAGTGATCTGCATGAGCAAATCGCAGACCTCCAGGCGCAGATTGCTGAGCTGAAGATGCAGCTGGCCAAGAAGGAGGAAGAGCTGCAAGCTGCTCTAGCCAGGTAGCTGTTCACTCTGTATCTGCAGGCACACTGAAATTCTCTAGCTGGAGAACCTCTCCCTTCCCAGGTGCAAGGATGCTGCTGCTCTGAATCTCATCTCTCAGTTACATCCTCTCTGCATGCTTCCCCTACCTCCAAGCCTCCATTGCTAACAAAAATGACATTACCTCACAGACATAGCTAAAATGCCCTACAGATAACAGTGAAAAGTTTTGTTTTCAATGGCCTTGGCAGTGCTGCCAAGTAAAGAATAGATAGGGCAACATCACAGTTGACAGGTTTTACCTTTGGGACAGAAATTACTTAGTGCGACCCTGATCCACTCCAGTCACTGTGAATTTTTTCTGTACAGACTTAGTGGGAAAACGGTCATCCAAAGCTTTTGCTGTATGAGCCAATTTACCATCTCCAGTTATTGTGTCCTAATAAAAGTCCAGCTCTTAGGTCCCTTTTGCCTCTGTTCCCCTCCTCCTTTGGCATTTTCTTGCACTGGGAGCCAGCATCTTACATATGAAACAACTAATGTAGCCTACAATTCTCTTAATACTATATAACATATAGGAGGGGAAAACTTCAGTTTTTCTGTTCATTGTTTAGGACAATCTGCACAATGAGCTGAACCTACACTTTTAAGGTAGGTACATGCAGATCTAGTGCGGGACTTCCAAAACTTTCTGACATACCTTTCTACTCACAAATTACCAATTACCATTAAGTACCACTTAGAAGTCTAGAATACTGAAGCACTAAATATATATAGTTCAAGCACACAGCATCACAAGCCATCTTGAATACAAGCAGATACATCATTAGATAGATTAACCATGTTTCTTATCAAAGTGATAACATAAAACTAATATACTTCCATTTTGCTAAAATTAAAATTACACCTTGGGTATAAATCTTCAATTTCTGAAAGATTTTCTCAATTCAGATTTTTTTTACTATATAAAATGAAATAATTTTCTTTCAGGCTTGAAGATGAAACTAGTCATAAAAACAACGCCCTCAAGAAGATCCGTGAGTTGGAAGCTCATATCTCTGATCTCCAGGAAGACTTGGAGTCTGAGAGAGCTGCAAGAAACAAAGCAGAAAAACAGAAGAGAGACCTTGGTGAAGAGCTGGAGGCTCTTAAGACAGAGCTTGAAGATACTTTGGATACCACAGCCACTCAGCAAGAGCTCAGGTATGGACACCTAGCATGTAGGCCAAAAATAAACATCACCGAGCTCTATGCAGTACTGTCTAGTGATTCATATGGAGCAAAGAAGATATATTTGTGCATTTGAAAGTGAGAAGTAAGCAAGGTAGGTGGGAAGGTTGTTTCTCTACACTGACAGCGATGGTCTCCAAGATCTAGACGTTTAGGTCTGGACTTAGTCCATTTAGGTTATCTAGATTATTTTTCTGAAGCCAAGTGTTTTCAGTCATAACACTACCTATCTAAGGCACATAAGTAATTCAGTCTTGTACTTATTTAGGTAATAGTTCTAAATCT